GTAATACGCCTGTCGGACCTGCATGCGAACCGACATCTTGGGGGGCTGAAGTCTCAAGCGCGGTTCGTCGTCGGTCGACTAGGACGCATCCCACACACCACGCGCACACCACCTTACGAACACAAAAATAAAACATACACACACACACATACGAAACGACACAGCACAAACAACGCGACAATGCTCCTAGCCCCTCAGTAGCCAACTCATAACTTTCCGATGCGGAAATCGAATAGGCGTCGCACGCGAGGCTCAGTATAAAACCGCGCGGACGCAGGGCTAACTCATATCGACTCGCAATGCAAGCGTACGCAAGCGGTCGCAATGGTGGCGTACTATGTAGTAACCATACTCGCGCGGTCCTCGTTAATCTCGAGGGTCGCATTCGACACTCAAGTGTCGGCTGACACGCGCCTTGAGGATTACTCTCTCGACGCTGGACAACTGCCATGCGCGGTTGAAGATCACACACCCTCTCCTGCACCTTATGCAGAGCGGGTGGTACACATGTCCATACATGTGGTGGCAGTCGCCTCTTACTGCCCTGGAGATGAGTCTCACTCCAGGCCTGGGCGGAAGTCAAGGGGTTTGACTTTGACGGCTGCTACGGACTACAACTCCAACCATCTCCCTTTTTTTTTTTCAAAACATAGTCTGACCAACCCTTATGCACAATCATAGTAGGGCTCTCAATCACTCAGGGCACTCATAAGTATATGGGGGTTGGTTACATAAGACGATCACTTCTCACAGTCACAGTGAGGCTCCCCTCAGCCATATATGTATGTAATCGCAGACAATCATATCCATGGCCCGAACCACAAAATCTCCTGCAATCACATCAAAGATTCAACCAGAGGCCCACGCTCTACACAGGGTCAACTTCAACCATTCTCTGTACTCACACCCCTTGCTTTAGCCGTGCAAACCTCAACCTCAGCGCAACCTTCCCGCAATAAAAATACTCAGTATCTTGGTTAAATGGCCATTCAATAAAGTCCGGTTAAAAACACAACAAAACAAATAAACCACAGGGCTAAAGCCTTTAGGTTGAGTGGTGAAGTGAATTGGAGTTGAGTCGTAAACTGACGAATCGACAACCGACATGTTATCTGTGATAACAGAAGATGATCCTCAAGGGATCAGGCTGAATCTAGTCCTGATCTTAAATCAGACACCCCAAAGGACCTGTAACACAAAATAGGTCAAATGCCCAATCTAAATCATCACCATATGGGGACAAACCTCCATTGCACATTCTCACTCAAAGCTACCTGCCAACTAAGTCCAAGTCTACCTCTAAGCCAGTGCCCATAGCAAAGGTAGACTAATGGCAAAATCTCCCCTATTCAGAGTGGACTACCATAATCGCCACCTGTCAAAATATTATCTATTTCCTTTAAACTAAGAAAATTTCGGCAGCGCTTCCCGTAAGAAAAGTGTCTTCCCGTAATTTATATAAATCCAAATATGAAAGCAGAAATAACCTTTAACTCTGGAAAGTCAGATTTTGTCTAACTCCCTTAATTAATAAAAATTAAGGTAGCACTCCCTTTAGAAAGAGAGACTTCCCTGATTTATACTAAGTCAGATATGAACTCAAAAGACAACTTGAGTTCAACTTAGAAAAGATTTAACTACCTCCTTAGTTTTGCAAAAATTTCGGCAGCACTCCCTCTACAAAAGTGTTATTCCAAAATTTATACAAGGGTAAGTCCAAAATTTGAAAGTAACTTTGACTTTCTAAGCTGAATTTTGTCTAACTCCCTGAATTAGTAAAAATTTGGGCAGCATTCCCTTTAGAAAAGGAGACTTTCCAATTTTTACTAAGTCGGATATAAGAAAAGACAAAGTTGAACTTTTGATAAGTCCTATGCTAGAGATGGAATGAAAGTCTGGATGAGTTCATGAAATATTTTAATTAGACTGTCATTCTATGTAAGGATTTCCAGTCATAAATGAGTTAATCCAATCTAAATTAGAAGGTATTTGTTATAGTAGAATGAAAGTTGAATTAAGACATTTCATAAACTCATCCAGACTTTCATTCCATCTTCAACAGATAGATGTAGTTGGAAGGGAAAGCTCATATTTAGATGAGAACTTATGAAATAAAACTGCAAATTTTAGAAATGGACGAACACTGGAATGATAATTTAAAAATATGAAGGTTTTTTTTTTAATGAAATATTTTTTCAACTTTCATTTCTCGTGGGAATTTTTCTGTTGGTGTTTATAGACATATGGAACGATACACACTATGTATTTGCAGCTGACCACGTCGCGTCCATTCTGTTGTACATGGAGGACAAGAGGATCAGGGATGCACAAACAGTTGCGGGCCGTTCCCGGACACGAGCGCCGTCATCTGCTGCACCCAGGGACGAGGTGCAGGACGTCCTTGACAAAGCTGAGCGTGACATGAGAGGGCAGGGGCACGACGGGGCGGTTTGTCAGGCGGCGTGGACTTGGAGGGTGAGGAGGTGGTCTTGACGTCACGCGGGGCAGGGCGGAAGGACAGTTGGGAAGAGGAAGGCGGTGGACATCGATGACGTTCCACCTGCGTCGGGGAAGAGGATCCCACAGAGCTGAATCAATGAGGTTAACGACAAGGCGAAATAGTCGCACTTCATCGACAAGTTTCTCCAGTAGGTGTACGATGTAGGCATTACATTCAATGCCTTTAGGAGACCGTCTTGGAGGGAGGTTAGGAAAGCAGCTGAAGATATGCCTCGAGGTGTGCGGATGCGATTTCCATCGTTCAAGGAAATCGGCGGTCCGGGGGTGCCTTCGTAGAGGGCGAAGGTCGCGACCTTGCTTAGAGAGGTCCGAGAGGCTTTTGTGCACAGTGGCGCGACCATGTTGTCAGAGGGCAGGAAGTCTCGCGATGCACGGCCCATCGTGAACTTCCTTGCAGCTGACGTCAATGGCGCACTACCATATGCCATCATCTGCCGTGACGATGCAGTCTCCGAGACTGGGGTCATTGTGTATCGCAGGTGGAGGGCTATTATCACCTCCTTCCCTGCAAAGGATGTCATCGCTTTTTGCATGGACTCTGCAAGCAACTATGTTGAGGCGTCTACATTTCTCGCACAGGACCCCGACCCCGACGTAAGGCGCATCAAGTGGCTCCTCTGCTCCACCCACGTCTGCAACCTGATGTTGTCAGACATCAGGATGTGAGTAGAGTGGACGAGGGACACCATCATTCGGGCTCGAGCTTTGGTGCGGTTCATCAAATCGCACGGAGAGGCCCTTGCCCTTTACAAGAGGAAGAACCCTCGCGTCTCACTGATCCAGCCGGTCGAAACATGTTTTGCTTCGTTTTTTTTTATATTGACATGTTTGGCCAAGAGACTCAACGCATTGGAGTCCATGCTGCATGACAACGCATGGGCTAGCATTCCGTGGGAGCGTAGGCTCCTTCCTCAGGCCCGGTGGGTGTGCCTCCAGATTCGTGATGGCCAGTTCTGGCGTCAGGTGGAGTTTGTCGTCCTTGTGATGGAGCCTGTCCATCAGCTTTTGAGGCGGATGGACAGAGGAGGGATGATGATGTCTATTGTGTTCGAGTGGAGTCAGCATCTCGTTCGGCTGATTAGGATGTCGACGGTCCCGCCGGAGCTTCTGACGCCGTGTGTGGAAGAGGTTGAGATGCGCCTTTTGCATCTCTTGGAGCCTACCCACAACGCTGCCCATCTCCTCAACCACCAGCGACCGTCAATGAGGTACTACGAGTCCCTCCACACGACACTGGAGGACGCGGTGGTTGTACAGGAGTGCGATCGGTTTCTGCTTGCGCAGACAGAAGGGATCCGACAGGCAGAGATTACCTCGCCGTGCCCGACCAGATAAGTCGTTTCCACGCACGAAAAGGCGATTGGGGTGATCGGTTGCTGTTCGATGTCGACGCCCGGGATTGCGACAGGGACGAGGAGACGACCCGTTGTGCGGCATGGTGGTTTGCCCACAGGGGAGCCCACCTACCATTGCTATCCGCGTGATGCACATGTAGACATCCGGCTTTTCCTGCTGAGAGGAATTCGGAGGAGCACGAGCACATTAAGACGGCGAAGCGCAACCAAGTTTGGTTTTCCCAGGCTGGCATAGCTGGCTGAGATTACGACTAATTTCAAATTGGCTTCAAGCAGGCAGCACGGTGGTGGGTATGTCATGCCGTGGATCATGGACAGTCACGAGGACCAGAGACCTCGTGAGGCCGCTGGCGAGGATGAGGAGGACGACGACCCGAAGCCGGCAGCATGGGCGCCAGACCGATCAGGACCTTCAACGATGCTGAGTTGAGGAGGCAAATTAAGTATTCATACGTGACGGCACAACCCCTCCACGAGAGGTGTCGGTCGTTTTTGGGCAGAGGGCAGCCATATGGCTTCCTTACGACCGCAGAGGACACCACGACTAGACAGACCCAGAGGACCTTGTGTCGGGCGGGGATAGGACTACAGAGCAGGTATATTTCACGTACGGCGGAGGATCGGACGGGCTAGCCCCTCGGACATCGGTCATCACGGACGATGGGTTAGGCCGGACAGAGGGAGTTGGAAAGCGGCGGGCCCCTGCAGGTTCTAGGGGTCGTTCGGAGCAGCCATCGAGTGTCATGGTTGCACACCTACCCCGTTTGCCAAGGCGGCGGGTTGTAGGGGTTGATTCCAGCTGAGAGGACGAGCCTGACACGGAGGACTGTCTTATGGACGCACGGTTTGATCCCAGCCACCACTCGTTCGTGCAGTTACAAGAGTTGTGTCAATCGAGGAGGTTGGCCAGGCAGCGCGGTGTGCACTCTTAGCACCTTGACGACATCCTAGTTGGGGAGCGGACTCCGTTCACTCCTCCATACGGTCGTGATCGTCATGACACCCACGTCACGCCCTCTTCATTGCACACCAGCGATTTCAACGTCGGTGGGTATCATGGTGGATCGCCTGTCTTGTGTCATAGGTCTGCAGCTGAGTCCATGCTTAGGGAAGATGAGACGTAGAGGGAGGAGACGACCGAGGAGAGGGACACCCGCCTTGATCGTGAGGAGGAGGCACGGTTGCAGTCTATGCCGAGGTGGGAGGGTAAAGAGGCATACTTGGCCGAGCAGCGCAGGTTGCATGAGTTGGAGACTGGCGAGTCTGGCGGAGCACGCCCTACCGGTGGATCGCAATTGGGTAGTGGTGGACCGACCGTCGGTGTGCAGACTGAGAGCGATTGTGGCATCGAGGGGGAGAGTGCACCCGTGACCGGGGGTGATACAGCAGGTCGGTTCCATGGAGATGATGGTGATGAGCCCGCAGAAGTTCACAGCTCCGACGATGGTGACGGGGGAAAGGCCCCAGACGAGGACTCCATCGACAGAGTGATCGTTGACCTTTGCACGACAGATGTGGGTGGTGGATTGCAGGGAGCCCATGACACGTCGCAGAGTGCGGATGTTGTTGTGGAGGAGGAGGCAGGGTTGCGCACTGACCGTGCGGTTGGTGACAGTGTTCCACGACACAGTCCTGTTATAGAGGGTGATGTCCACGTTGGCAACGAGGATCGGTCGTCCCCACCACGGGATGTGGAGGGGGACATATCCCTCACATTGATTGTGAGGCCCCCGTCGGCTTCTTACGCCGATGAGGGTATCACGGGTTGCCGCATGGACGACAGGCCGAGGGGGTCCACTATAGTCGCTCTTGATCTAGAGGAGTTGGAGCGCGCGGGGTTGGAGGACTCTAACAATCACACAGGTCGGAGGAGTGATCCCCGCCGACCGGCAGATGGATTCGCATTGCCCCTAGGTGGGTACCTGAGAGCCCTCGATGGTCAGGGTCGTCACGCGGTGAGGCCTCGGATAGACAGGCGGCAGCTGTTTGCGGGGGGGGTTCGGCGAGAGACATGCACCCTCCACGACCATGGTCATTGTGTCCATCACCACAACACGTGCGTAGTGGCGGTGTCACATTGACTGCAGTGCCATCCGACAGTCGAGGTGGATCAGGCGGTGGGTGGTCGTCTTGCAGACGAGTCACGGACCGTGTGACGAGGGATTACGACAGCGGAGAGGGGTTGTTTGCACGAGGCCCGTCAGCGGGGGCAGTTGTGGGGGAGGCGGGAGCTGCAGACTCGGGACGACCAAGACTGCACACGAGAGCATGTATCCTCAGATTGTCCGAGGGACAGACGAGGAGGCAGGTGGTTTTCCTGGCCCAGGTGCCGTTGATGATATACGTCGAGGATTGCCTTACACGTCGGGCGAGGAGGGCGATTTATATATGCCAGCAGGGGCGCGACGTCACGGATCGCTGAGTGCACTGGACGCTCAGATCGCTGCCAAGCATTAGCGTTTCGACGACTTGGTTCGGGAGCGTGACAGGCTGGTGGAGATGGAGGGACAAGGGGACGAGGCGGACATCGAGACAGAGCCCATCGATGTTGTCGCACGGAGGGGAATGGGCTAGAAGAGCAGCGGCTGCTGCTACTGCCACGGCTGCCACAAGAGCCTCAGTAGGGGATCCGGACGACGCACCTCTACACGGAGAGAGAGCGGCACATAGGCGGGGGGAGAGTGCACCTCTTGTGAGCAGATCAGATGCATCACGTCACGGGACTCGTGCGAAGTGTAACGGGAGGAGTTAAACACTTATACATTATGTCACCTTGGCTGTTTCGGGGTACTTTTATGTTCTTGTATCTTAGGTAGGTGCTTGAGTCCATACGATTTTTTTTTTTTGTATTTTATCTGTAGCTGATATGCCACCAACCTGGATGGCGCAGGTGGAGTAGGCATGTTGTATTTTATCTTGTATCTTAGGTAGGTGCATGAGTCCATACGTTTTTTTTTTTTTTTGGATTTTATCTGAAGCTGATATGCCACCAACCTGTTCGGTGCTGGTGGAGCAGGCATGTTGTATTTTATCATGGGCTCGTGCTGTCAGTAGGTCTTTGTCGACATGGACGCAGTCAGGTAGTTATTTTGTTTGTTGGATGCATTCTGAGGGCGGATGTGATGTTATCTGTATTTAGAAGACTTCGTATTTTTGGTGTATTGGCACATGCAGGCCTTGCCAGGGCACTTGGTTCTTCAGTCTTCATTGACTCATCTCCCGTCTATGTGCTCATGAAACCCTCTCCCTCGACCTACCCAACATGCTCTTGTATGTCATAGTATCATGCTTGATGGTGGTGTATGACATTGTGTGACATTGTGTGTGACGTTGTGTGACATTGCTTGATGGTGCTTGCAATGGATCATCGCACCCGGTGACACCCTTTGACAACCCCGATACCACCCCCAAGGGCCTTAACCCACCCTCCACAGAGTCCCCTCCCCCAATGGCCCCTTGAAGGCTTGAAAACATATTTTTGAAAAAGACTCTACAAACGAAGTCCTGACTGCAGGATTTTTTTTTATTTTTTTTTTTGGTGGAAGTGCACCCCCCCGCCAACACCCTCGCGCCGGTGAAACTTGGTTTGTGGGGGTTGCGGATTTTTTTTTTAGCCCATATGTACCCCTCCAAAACCACCCCCCCACTTTGCACTTTTTTTTTGTTTTTCATAGGGGGGGGCTGGAACTCCCCCCCTGCCGTCGAGATGCGGTCCCCGCTCCCCCATACCATCGACAACGGCGTCCCGCGGTAACCCACGGTCACCATGGTCATGACCCGCATTCGAGGCCGCGTCGGCCGCGGCCGCTGGGGATACATAGGCTGGAGGTCCTTCCAAACCCCCCCGCTCCGCTCCAACACCCAAATCCTCCTTCCGTTCTCCATCATTGTCTTCATATTCCTCATCGCCAGCCAGTTCACAACCATGCTATGGCGAACACAACCTGCAAGAAGTACCAAGCACTGTTGCAAGTCGGCGTTGAATATAGGCATCGAGGCTGCAGCCTGCAGCACAGCCATAACTACTGCATTCGGCCTGTTCATCCACTGCATGATCGTCATCATGGTGATGAACAATACGTCATCATCGAATTCCTCTCCTTCATTACGTTGTCGCTGATGTCCTCCTTCATCGTCCATGTGTGTGTGGATACCGCTTGCAAGAACAAGGGGAACAACTTTGGAAAATGTTGTCTTCCGACAACAACGTCAACCCCACCTACGTTAGTGACTATGGCGCAACGAGTCATATGCTTCGTTTGCTGAATGCGTGCAGAGGCGTGTCGGGCGTCCGCGTGTGCGGTGTCGACGATGATGCGCTCGGAAGCTTGAAAGGGAACGAATATGGCATTACCAGCTCTGCGCCTCTGTGACAGTGAAGCGGTGGACGACTCCCCGGATCAGAATGTACGGCCCAACGGCCTGGAACCTGGTACCGGGGAAGATATGCCGCCGGCCTCCAAATCGGTGTCGAGCAGGAAATGCCGCACGGTCACCCACTATCCACAACCGCCCTTCCATTACGACCACCTCCGACGGACCTGGAATACCTCAGCGGCCCCATCCATTCCCAAAAAGGAAATATTTTCTGAAATTTTCTTTTAGGTAACCGGTGCCAACTCTAGAGCAATATTTCACGGCGACGGTGGGATCCCCTACGTTTCGTCGTTTTCGTTGGCGGTAGGCAGTCGGCTGGAAGTTACGACTTTTGAAACCGTTTGCCACCGTCCTGTGGGGTCCTACCCTAAGCTAAATCGGCTGAAGCTGCCGAGATTGTGACGAACCAATTCCTGCACTGCGCGATTTTCTGCGCGATAGCAATGAGGGGTCCTAAGCTGGGACGGATGGGCCAATTACAGGAGATCGGGATTGGAAGGAAATTGCATTGGTGTCCCTGCCTCTTCGTTTTTTTCGTCGTCTCTTTTCGAATGGTTGGGTTCAGGGTCGGGTGAGTCCCGGGACCGTCGGGACGATCGATTGATTGATTGCCTGTGTCTGCGGCGCGCCGCCGTGCGCGCGATTAATAATTGTTGACGTCGCTTCTTTTGTTTCTATTTTGGAATTTAGGCGCAGACATCGCACGAGAATTTTGCTTCGTTCTTTTTAAACTTTCTTTTTTAATTCTTTTTCGAATCTTATCGAGCCCCGATGGCTCTCGGAATTTCGGACTTTCCTTTCGGAACTTGAGCTTTTCGTCTTTTTTTATTAAATAGGAATTTAGGAATTTGGTAATTAGGATTTTTCTTGGTCATGCAACGCTTTTTGCTTACGTGCTTCTTCATGCGGCTACAACGGAACTCTGATTAGTCGGCGCCTTTAATCGTGTTCGTAACTGTAATTCTGGGCGGGCGCCATTGTAACTGTATCTTTCTTCTTGTGCTTCGTCTTTCCCACCCTTCTTCTCCTTCTTTGTGCTGCGTTTTGGTAGCCGCGGTCTGCATGATCAGATCAATGCGTGGAGAGTGGCTACGTCCCCCACGCCGCGATCGGGTCAAGCAGAACGTAGGCGCTCCCTCCCCTTATCTTCCTACTACGTCCTTGTAATTCCGTATTCTTCGTGCATGCATGCACGCTATAAATTCCCGCTGCGTGATTAGTTAGCTCTCTTAACCAGCTAAGTGAAAGCTCGGGGTAGCGCAATCAGTGAGGGTCGACTCACGAGCAAAGTAAGAGGTGAGTTGAAGTGGGAGTCGGGCGACCCGACGAGCTGGTGCCAAACGCGCGGGGTTGACGCGGACCACGACGGACTGTGGGCGCAGGCGAACCTGACGGGTGCGGGAGGACTAAGCGGGGTGACGACTTCGTGGGTTGGTGCGCGACGACGGACTGTCCGCATCGGAGAGAGAGAGAGAGAAAGAGGGAGCTGAGGTTGATGGACGCGGATTTGTTGTTTCTTTTGTCTTTTCTCCCTCTCTGCTAGTGTATATAAATTTTGATTTCGGATCAGGGCAATTTGCCCGTTTTTTGTTCTCGGAATCTTGGCTTGGTTCTCTTTCGCCCACCCTCATCTTTGCGATTTCCATCTCAGATGTTGTGTGTATTACGTTGAATGAATGGATGAATGGATGTTATATCTGGTTGCTTGTCCTTATGCCTGATCCTTGCCATCGTTTATCGTCTTGATCCACTCATGAGTAGGGTAGGAATTTTCCATAGTCATTAATACTGTTTCCATTTTCACTTATCCCTTGATTGAGCTGTTGTGGTTGTTGCTATTGTTGCATCTTGCATGCTCGGAAATTACAGAATGATTAGATAATCGGGTAGCTGTTTGCCCAGAAACCAGTGAATGCCTTGCAGGGACACGCGTAAGTACGATCTGCTCTGCGCACTTACACGTGTCCCCGCGCGTCGATTCACAACCAACCACTCATAAAAAGGCTAATGATTGCGGAGATATTGCCTGATTGGATGTGGCCATTCCGCGTCAACAACGAAGCCATCATCCCGTGCGAACACGTGTAAGTGTGATTCAACTCGCGCGGCCTGCACGTACTCGCACGTGGTGATCACAATCGGCGAAGACACGCCCTTAGGAATCTCGCGGCTCTACGATGACCTAATGACACGCCCTGGGAGATCAGATTCGTCGTACGACCCGGAGTACTTCACCCCTTGGATTGAGGAGTGCCTCCGACAGAGGTTCCCTTGCCTAACCGAGAACCGACTGTTTCCTAGAGAGTTCCATTGTGCCACAACCAGCGATCCACGGTGCTCTGATTTTCCCACTTCAGACCACACCCACTACTTTATTTCCCCCGGTTTTGTTGTTATCTCCACTAATCTCCCTCCCTTCGTCTTCTTCTCCCGTATCATCAACTCCGAGTTGTCCCGTGGAAGGCCATAGCCCTATACTGGCCCCGCACACCCTACGGAAATTGCTGGCGACGCGGCAATCAGAGAGCCCCGGAAGCCCGAAGGCCTAACCCGAACGTACGACGACCGGCGTCACATGGCAACATCAGACGGCATGACTCATCAGAACCACACCCACCCCGGATGGACCTCTCAACGAACCGCCGTCCTCAACACAGATGGATCGAACGACCATAAATGACCCGCGCATGCCATGTGCCTTATGACCAAAAGTAGTCCGCCCCCGAAAAACTCTGCCACAAGAAATCTCAGTTCTGACCTGGGACTCCAATCCCCCCCCCACTTTCCCAAAAATCCTTGGCACACCCCTTTTCCCACTTCCAGGCCCACACCCCACTCCGATCAGGAAGTCGCGCTGGGCGTGAGGTTTGGGCGTCACAGGATAACTTCGAGGGTGTGGTCCCATTAGGGAGTGTGGCCGATCTAGTGTGACACTAAGTGGCAGCGTCCTGATAGGTTTATTACGAATTTCTGGGGTGAGAAAAAACGAGAAAGGAAAAAAAAAAACAAAAAAACAGAGACCTCCCACCTGAAATCACAGCAGAGTGCTTCCCACTGTTCCCAGCCATCAGATCACAAATGATTTGATGGTGGTGGTTGCAACAACAGTGCAGAAAGTAACTGCCACATTTTCAGGAATAAACTCAACTTCTGTCAGCAGTGATCCTGACGCC